GTGGAACTCTAACTTATTTTTCTGTTATTTTACATTTAAAACTAGAATTGGTAACATGGTGCAACAGTAGTCTCTACTTAGCTGGATTAGATGATTCATTGCAGTGAACACGCAGAACTCAGATTTGTTTTTGTTGTTAAGTGTCACTGAGTCGATTCCGACCCATGGAGACCCTGTATAGGGTTTCCGAGGAGCAGCTGGTGAGCTTGAACTGCCGACCTTGCAGTTCAAACGGCTTTGCGGTCTGGAGCATTAGCCCACAGCACTCCCCCCTCGGCCTCTAGACACACAGACACACAGAACTCAGATAGCATACTCATAGTCACAGTTACAGGGTTTACTAAGGAAGTTAATCCTGCAGGTTACACGGTAGGATCAGAAAATGCTCAGGACACTGTTTTTCCAGTCAGGATAGTTTCTCCTAGCCATGCCTACAGACTGACTTCTCTTTGCCCAGTCAGTGTTACAGAGCTCTTTTAGGGCTGCTGATAAATGCTTACAAGGCACTCCACTATAAGCTTTAGCCAGAAGATACTCAGCTGTAGCTCCTTGGGCCAGCAAACCTAACTCTTCCAATTAAGTACTTGGAGGAACCCACTGCAAGCATACTTCTTGGCCAGAGTCACTCAATTTTACTTGCTCTGTGGACTGGGAAGCCAACTGCTCCTGTCTGTTGCTCTAGCTCTTAATTCTGCTGCTACTGCTCCTCTACCGCTCCTCCGATGTCACAGCTTTCAGTTCCGGGATTAAGGAGGTTCAGTGCACAGGGATCTTGGGATCCAGAGGACACAGTCAACTCCTGGCACTTTTTCTTTGGTGATAGTGAGATCTTCTCACCTTCTGAGATGGCTCATTTTATATCCAGGCTAGAGTTCCAAGTATTTACAATCACTATGAACTCTGTTAACAGTCATTCACAACTGAATCATATCATCCTATCAGTATCTTCTTCCACCCTCTCTTATCCTTACCCACCAGGAAGAGAGTCATTTGGTGGGGATTACATAGGCTAAGGCAAGAAGAGACATTAAATAGTTCACTACACTACACATTACACATGGTATATATGATGAAAAGTACAGTGAAACAGGCATCATAAAACCTTACTCAATCTTTTTAAGTGAAACCTTACTTATACTTAATCTTTTTAAGTGAATGAGTGATCTTGGGTAAAACACGAAATGAAATAGCTTTGCTTTGGAGTCAGTTCTGACTCATAGCTACCGACTAGCAGAACTCTCCATTAGGTCTTCTTGGCCGTAATTTTTATGAAAGTAGTACACCGTTCTTCCATGGTACAGCTGTGTGTGTGTGGGGTGTGGGTGCGGTTTGTCCACCTACCTTTAGGTTACTAGTCTTAGGCAAACAATTTGTGCTACTTAGGGACCTAGATGGAATCTTGAGTAAGGATTCAAATTTAGTAGGTCTCATTTCTTTTCTGAAGATGAATGTGTTGAACTAAATGATTCCCAACATAATAGCAGCATTTCTGTAAAGACCGTTGAGTGTCTCTTTGTCTTTGTGTGTGTTTCTTGAGAGTGACCACTTTGCCCAGGCAAGGTTATTTAGGACACTTCTTAGTTTTATATTGAAATAAATTTTTTATTGTGAGTTATGTGATAGTTTACATGAGAGAAAACCAGTTTTACATTCATTCTATCATATTTCATTTCATTGCAATGATTACAGTCCTCTCCATGCGTCATCAAACAATCAAAGGGTATTCTCCGCAAGCCTTCCCCCGGCCATCAGCACACAGCCCCTCTCCCTCTCCCTCTCTGGGTCTAGAGTCCCCAGCCGCTCCATCTTTCCACGTAATCGTCTCTGCCTCCATCTCTGGAGTCACTGCTTCTCTGGATAGGGTCCCACTCTCCGCTGTTCTCACTTGATGGTTCCAGGGACCTCTGCTTCTGAACTGCAAAATCAACTACTCCCTTCCTTTTATTACAAAACATCCACCTTTACATTTCCAACCCTCACAGTCAGCCCTGATAGCAGTTATTCATTATTGAATCACATGAGTCTTAGCCCCATCTCCTTTCATCAGCC